GGGCAACTTAAGCTAACATACAACATATGATGGTTACGCAAAAACCCTAGCTTTTTTAAAAGAAGGACAACGACCTTTCAGCCGCGGTAACATAAAAACAGTGTACCCCTAAAACGCGTCCTTCACTTTCTACATTTCAGCAGTTTTCAAGCTGTTGTTGGCAGATACAGTTGCATAATGGATTAGAGGATCGTCTTAAATGTTAGGTTATCTGACAGAAAAGCTGTTCTTTACGAATCGTATTTGTGAAAAAATATTGTTAAAATGGATCCTCGAATGAAATATGAACACACTTCGTATATTATTGCTGACTTGGCATTTGAAAACCGACAAGTTACATTTTTTCATATAGCGTGTCTAAGCTACACTTTCAGAACTCTTTTTCATTTCTCTACAACTTCAGTGAGCAGATGCTGCTGCAATACACAAGTAATTTCATTTTAAAACTTTGGAACGTGCAGTTTAGAGAGCTGTTTAAAGTATCGGTACAAACTTCACGGAGTTAGCCTTTTTTACTTAGTTTCAAATAAGCCCGAATGTTTATTTCCCGTAATGGACACCCCTTCACGGATAATAAAGACCGAATCTCTCCGGAGATATTTATTAGAGGTGATGAGACCTACTACTCTTTTATGGCACTTCCGCGTTGAGAAAAGTCCTGAAACGCAAAAGAAAATCTATCCCGGAAAATCTAGAGATCAACAGAGATCCTGGGTTCAAGGAACGTTAACGAAACGTGCATCTGTCGCAGCGCCTGCCACAATAAATCGATGTAAAGTTCAAGAACTTAAAACGTACTTCCCTGTTAGTTATTACAGAACGCCGAAAACATTTACCTCTAAACTTAGTTAATAAAATACCCGAAAAACCGCTTCGGTTATTAAGTTATTAAATCATTCCGCTTATAAAAGGGTCAATAACTTCGGTGTATCCTAAAAGTGATCCTGACTGATCCTTCCGCGAAATAACTACTTAAGACCGATGAAAAATGAATCGGTTAATGAAAAAAGATTGGCTGGGACTATTTTCTTGCAGTTTCGACATCGGTGACTGACTTGTTTGAAGTTTGAAAAGTTACGCGTAATTCAGAAAGAGGTTAGTGTTTCGTTTCGTATTATTAATTGACAAATTTTTCAGTCAAGGACTCGCATTTCCATGAAATCTGATGTATCGAGTTAATTAATAACAGAAATTTGAAAATGTTGCGTTTATGGGAATAATTATTGTAACTGAAAAAAGGGTAATGCAAATATTCCATTCAATTAGTTAAAACCTCTCGCTTCATTCTGAGTTTATTTGCCCGAGTTTTTTATGTCATTAACTTTTTTAATGTTTGGTTGTAGTTCCTGTTACTATTATAGTGGACCAAGAGCTATAAGGTTATATGGCCATCATAAAATCATCCTATTGTGTCGAAGTTAAGTTGTTTACAAAAGAAAAGGTTTTAGGGTCGTAAATAACGTGTCCACTGCAGCTCGACCGCCTGTTGTGGTTTCGTTCAGGGGCGGCTTTCACTAAATATGAAAATCCACCACTCCACTATTTCTTTACTACCTCCAGCCGCTGAGGGTTCCGAAATAAGCACTCGCTTTGAAGGCCGGCCCTGTTAAATGTGAGCAAGAAATGTTTAGAAGACGATTTATTGCCAACCGGTAAGCTTAGTGCTAACCACACAAAGGGGGTATTTACTTGCGGTCAACTACGTTTATGATGGTCATATAACCTTATACCTTTTGGACAAGTATACTTATATTTATTATCATAACTAAATCATCGTTATAATCTGTGAACACGCGAAAGAAGAAGAATGAGAAAATGTCTGTTGATTGTTCATTTAGAAATTAAAATAATTGAAATATATAGCTTCTCTTGTAACCTACATTCCACTCCGAGTACACATTTTTTGCGTTGGCTCTTTTCCATTAATTTACCGCAGTCAATAAACACTCTGCGTACTTTATTCATTTACCCAATTTTTTATTTCGCCAAACAAGTGTCATGAACTCCGCCGACCTGGAAACTGGAAACTCGGTAATCCAGGAAGAAAGCTCGCGGAAACAAACCATAAAATAAAAACCAAAGAAAACCAAGAAATAGTCCTCATGTAGCTTGTAAAATGTGCTAAATTATCAAATTAAGCAGCGTGGGCACGAATCCTTGGCGCTTTAAATTCCTCTGTCTTATTGGGAAGTTCATCGTCCGTTAACCGCGCTAAGAAAATCCCTGGAGGTAAAAGAACAACCACAATAATAGCTGGAACATCCAAGTCGTAATTTTAATTTTACCAGGTGGTGTCGGTACAATCTTGTAGGCTCGACTGTAGATCTTAATAAAAGGCAAGCTTTAAAAAAGTTACTAGACGAGTAAGAGTTATGGTTATCTAGAACCGAACAGAAGGTGAACGTACTAAGAATGTACAATTAGATTCCGTTTGTAACCCCCGAAAGAGTGGCCAGTAGATGCATATTTTTTCTATTACCACGAAATAAAACGTCAACAACAACAGGATTTGCTAAATATGTAATGTTATAAACAATTCTGACCAAGGTAAGTTGTGATTAGTAAGATAAGGTTTTATATATTAATAATAGCCTGTTAATAATAATAATAACAATCAGATAACTGATTATCATATGGTACTGAGCAACATTTTGTTACGTAATTGTTTTACAGCTATTTTAGGGCTGTAAAATAAGTGTTATAGATCTAAATGTACTTGGATGGGTGACCAACTAGGCTTGGATCGCTCGTCCGCCTGTATGGCTCGGTGTACTATAATAAACATAAACTAACATAATCTATATTAATACGACCACTATTAGGAGAAGACTCCGACGAAGATCATGAATTATTAATCGTAATTATGTTTTATGGGAGCGTTTCTACAAAAGTCATGAAGAAATTTACCTCAAAATTGTACGGTCCAAAACCGGGATTTTTTTACTATAAACGTTTTTTTAACATCACGGACAATGGTACAAGCAAATAAAAACGATTCATATTTGAATAAAAAAATTATCACGTAATTACAAACTTAATACTTAGAATTTTTTTCATTTATGTTGTTTTAAATTAATTTTCTGTGTTTATTCAAAACAGCGACCTACTAACTGGCTTCTGTCTAACAGAGTTTCAGGTACTGTAAAGTTTGATCTAATGAAGCTACAAAACTTGTAGAACGTTGTTAGTTAAAGGTTTTCACGTGGATAACAAGTCTGGAGTTGAACAATAAAGGATTAATTATAGAGTCTTAGAAATTCGAAATAGATTCCTCGACTAGGTCTTGTTTTTGTGGTATTGAAATTGGTGATAATTAAAATAAACTCTGTTACGAAAACGTGAATTATGAAACTAGATCAGTGAGATACTTAGACATTGTACCTATTTAACACTATATTACAGTTAGTTTTGCGCGTATAGCTCTTGTCATGAAAATATGAACAAAAGCAACTATAAGTCTTACATGAGTGAAACTAATTAGTAGTACATTTAAAGGATTTTTATACTCATACGAGTTTCAACTTTTTGTTTTATCTTCTTTTCATCTGGTTAGTTGCTAAAAATTACGAAATTTTATATGGTGACGTAAATATAAAATATCGAGGTCAGTGACTCAAAATACTTCAAAAGGTTCAAATGACTATTTCGTCTACGACGAAATGCTCATTATCGACGTATTGGTCGTCATTTATACGTTTTATTACAGGACAAGACATCAAACGTAGAAATTACTTTGTCACCATTAAAATCATAAAACTAACTTCAGCAGGGTCGACGAAGTGACAAGTTATTGGGAATTGGAAGAACGCGTCAGAGACACTGATGTTTCATTTCACTTTTTCAATCATAAAATGATAAAATGTTAGCTTGAAAGGAATTAAAAAAAATGTGTACCTACCGTAAATATTTATTCAAGTATCACATTTTCTGGGAATATTTCATAATCGATGAGATGTACGATAGAGGAACTCTAATAAACAATGTTCAACAAAATATGCGTAAGAAAAACTTACGAAAAAAATTCTTGAACATATTTATGTAAGGGAGATGAAAAGCGGAACTGTAACATACTAAATATTACATTTGTTTTTTTCAAAGATACAAAAACTTCTCTCCATTTACTAGTGCCAATAACAGACATGTTGATCGAAATCTTTATTTTCTCGTTTCCAAGAAATGGTAAACTAATTACGCTTCGATAATTCGAATTCAGTCAAAGAAAAACTCTGCATTTTAATTATTTGAGGAATGTGAACAATACATCTGAAGGAGTTTCATTGGACTGTTGGGATGGGGGCTTCACTGAAGTCCGTGGGAAGCCTATGGTCTGGATATTTCTGTTAAAACTCCTATAAACGAAACTACCGAGGCTACTGCTACGATGTTGAAAGCCACGATATATGAGGACGGACGAATTTAAATTAGCCAATAACACGTGACGTCACGCTGTGGCGGGAACTCAGCGTTTGACAAGCGCCGTGAAACTCCATAAGCGACAATGTTAACATTTTCGCATTTTATTTAAAAGTGTGGGTATTTATCTAGAAAATAAACACGTGAATAGCTTCTTTCATATCTTTTCTGTGTATCAGGGTGCTTTTTTTTGGCGATTTGAGTTTAAAAATACATAATAAAAATAAAAATACAGAACGCTGTTTTGGTCTGAATTCCTCGTCGCCCAAAATACATCCGTGTGTTTTAAGCGGTCAATCGGAAATTAATATTTTCGTTTGAGGTTAATGTGACGGGTTTAAGTGAAGGTGTGTGATTTGTTTTTAAAGTATGGATAATTTAAGTGATTATGCACGATGTCTTTCCGTCAAAGAGAAAAGCAGATATGTACAAAAGTTAAACAATTTAAACGGCGTAGATCCTTATAGTTATAATGAGTGCAAGTGATTTTAATTTGTGTTTAGACGATGTCCCTACCATAACAATGAATACCATTCTAAACTTTTTTTTTTGGAATAAGTAAAATAACCCACAATGAAATTCGTGCATTCAAAAGTCTAGAGCCATTTATTCAGTTTTCTCTTTTTTAAACAACTGTGTCTTTCAACATTACAAATATTGAGTGGATTTATTTTGATATCCTAAATTTTGTGATGGAATATAATCAGGGTGGTCCACAACCGACAAATCTGCAGGTTTACCTAAAAGAGCACCAATGTAGTAATTTATTAGAAACTGTAAATCTAATAAGTAGTTATTGTACCTAAAATAAAATGGTCCGAACAAATATAGGAATACTTTACTTTGGCTTCGCTAAATCCACTCGTTTCAAGGCTTTTAACCAAAGCTTCCGCCTTTTTCCCCATCCTGTATATATTTACCTTTATTGTTGCTAATTGCTGGGAAAGGAAAATAAAATTTGTCCGCATTTCTGGTGCTTCGATTCGCGCAACCCACAACAGCACAAAATGTAGGCATTTTCTCCTAAAATACAAAATAGTATAATATTAAGATGCTAGTGTATTTAAAAAACATTGATGTACATTAACACAGAATTAATTTGCAAAACAAATAATATAAGATGCAGCGAAGTTAACGTGTACATCACATTGGAAAACATTATTTTTTAAGGATATTTAAACGTTATGGTGCGTTTTACAGATATCTACACAGTCTAGAAACTGTAACAAACTTACCAAACTATAAAAACACAGTTGACACACTCTCAAATTTAAATGAATTCCGAAAATATTAGCATTGACTCTTATGAGAAAACCGGCTAGTTGTCAAACGCTGCCATCTTGGTGACCTCGGATGACGTCAGTGTATTTGGCTAATTAGCTGAAGGTATGCATTTCAGTGTACCGTATCGTTAACTGAATTTTGCCGTGTTTTAATTTGCTGAAAATGAAGTTTTCCGCTTACAGAAAAAGACGGAGGAAGCGGATTTATTTTTCTAATTATAATAAATATATGTAGATATCAAATCTCGGTATTAAAAACTTCTTCTCCATAAATCCTAATGCAAACTTTTCCCAATTTGTACAAACTGTATGTCGTTATTTTCAGTCTTTCGCTTTAGACCGGTGTAGGCATTTTTGATAGCTTTTTAAAACTTCTGCCGGCTTCAAACTTTGTTAACTCGAGATTTTCAATGTCAAGCCAATTGAAACGAATGATTTTCGAACCCCTACATTAGCGCTCCTTTATTGTGATAAGTTCATCAACATTGAGGCTATTTAAAAATACATAACAAATATCAAAGACGCCAATCTCATAAAAATATTTTCTCAGGAGAATATTTATGTTGTCTAAGTGGGAACAGTTTTAGGTCATCGGAAAAAATTGCTATTTCCGTAAATGCATCCTCTCAAAAACAGCACGTGCAAGATATCTCACGTGTAACGTAGTCTCCGCAAAAATATTTATTTTTTTCGTTATACGGGTTATAAAATTGACACAATCGTATGATTTTTGCTGACCTCGAGTCGTAATAGCAGGTACGATATGTCTGAAGCACCCCTGACCTTAAGTTTGATTGTTATGTCTGCTTTATTTCGACAATGGCTTTGTAGATCAATAGGTACACCATTACTGCTGAAATTGACAACCATACTTACGCAACTCTTATTTTATTGGATATCGCCTCGAGACAAGGAGCATCTCCCGTTTATTGTTTCTTTTGTATAGTGAGACTAAAATACTCTCGTTGTTGTTATCTATGTAGTTTTGGGGGGTATTCATTAATCCAGTTCTGTTTTTAGCCCGCAATTCCTGATTACTGCATTATTTTTCGTGTTGTTAATCGCATTAAGACCCGATACGATTAAGTTGTTTACGAGAGCCCGATAAATTATCTACAACAATAATTTTTTAATGCATCGGAAAATTCGCCACATTGTTTGGGGAAAGCACTGGCAGCCATCCAGCCAACGTAACGTATCGATTTGACTGGAAATTTATTGGTAATTAAAAACAAATTATTATTCTGTTGTCGATAAAAACTTAATGCGCTGCTGGGAAGGTTATTCAACGTGTTATTGTCAGGCCGAAGGGCATCTGCAAGACAGTTAGATAAACGTTGCAATAAGGGTGAAAACCTTACGCAACGCCGTTACGAACTAACCTTTAAAACATCTCACAAACCTGCAGTTGTGTGGAGTGTGTGTTATCGAACTGCTGAATGCTTACAAAACCTTAAAAAGTCTTTACACTTTGCCACCCTCAATTAAAGCTCCTTTGCATAACTCACACTTGCATGGATGCAATTATTTTTAGCCAAATTAAACTGCAACGAAGCTATGTTTCAGCGAAATCTAATTTCTCAGCCGTAAATATGTCACTTTTGCTAATAAATTCATCACCTTTTTTTAATAATAATTCGTAAATTGGTGAAGGCGCGCCCTACTTATGTAAAATTATCTTAAGTAGGGCATGATACCTGCTGAGTTGTATACTAAACATCCACTTGCGTTAATAATTCCATCGTTTTTCTCTTCTTCGTGGGCGGAATGTAGGACCGAATAATTAAAATAAATAGAGGCTCCTGACATTTGAGGTTGCTAGTCGATACCGGGAATAATTGGTGGTGTATAAGAGCAGTAACGCTAATCCCGTGAAAATTTCTTAGTAGGTCGCTACATGACACCAGCCACTGAAAAATTAATAACGCTATTTTATTTTAATAAACCCACTTCGAAAGTAGGGCGTTTTTTAGGGTTGGTTTATCAACCTGCAACGAAATCAGGGCGTAATCTTACTCTTATCCTTTATCTCATTTTAAGGGGATGTTTACTTCATGTCTACATCATGTTCAAATACATGTCACTTTGTGTTATTAACATGACCTTGTTTCGCCGTGTCAGAATCCACACATATAACAAAGGAGTAAAAAAATCTATTGCGTTCCACGGAAGCCAATAATATACTACTGAATTATCAAAGAGCGAATCCAAACCACTGTTTTCACTAAGCAACAAACCGTCTTGGAGAAACTCTACGTTTAAACAAATCGTCGGATGGGTAAAGCTAAATAGTAAACCGGCATTTATAAATATCTGATGAAAAAGTGAACACCTCCGTGATTTAGCATGTTTATGTGGTAACACACTATTTTCAGAGTGGTTACTATTATAAATACTACAAGCATTTGCGGTGCTTTAGGGTTAAAGCAAAAATATTCTGAATGAGACACTTCACCCAAGCAGAACTTTGCCAAAAATGGTGATTCATATATTCACAATCCTTCGAACGTAAGCCATGACCAACGTAAAATAGTAACAAGACAGTCGTGGCTCTATTTAACATTGAGCTACAAATTTTTCAAGACTAATTCGAGAGGATTAGCAGACTCATCTTTCTAATAACTTTCAAAACAAATCACATTTTGTGTCCATTAAGCAATTTGAATAGTGTTTTATCATAATTTTGAGGGACTTCCACGTGTCGTAAGCGCGTTTTGACCCAATTTCTTTGCGAAAGTTTGGTGGAAATTTTCACTAGTTATATCATCAATCACAATATTCTCTGAGCGAGACGTTTTAACGTAATGCGTAGCATAATCACATAATCACTCCTGGAATCATTAAAGGAATCTCATGTAAGGACAAGGACGAGGTCTACAGTATTCCACATGGAATTTAATGATAGGGTTTAAATTTCCTTGTAACGTCTCAAGCGACAAAACAATCTCTGCGATCTTACGATTTGAAGAAGACAGCTGGATTCTACCATTTATCTAAACGTAAGCAAGCTTTCGACATGAAAGATATTACTTATTTAAATTAAATATTTTTTGTCGTTATTAATATAAGACAGACAGATGAATAAGCATTCAGAGTTAGAATTATGTAACCAAATCCGTTTTTTAGATGCCCTTGCAAAGAAAAGTCGACGTTTTTTTAGTTTATAAGTAATCAAGAAGTCGCAAAATTTTATATGGCAGTTCTGGATTTAGATAATCTTTTCTTTGATAGAGCTTTCGTCATTACGTAATTGAAATAAATGTAAAGCGTTTTTACAATGGGGATGTAACGGAAACAAAAACAACAAAAGGTCAAGTCGGTTTAATGTTGTCAACTTTAAAATTGTCTCCTAGACGTCTTTTAAAGCCGAATTCTTAAATGAAACGTATAACACAACAAAGTAAATAAATAAATCGAAATCCCTAAAATATTCGCTTCAACTTATTACCATAATATTTTCACGAGGTTTCCAGAATTGTCTGTAAGTATTTAAAAGCTTCCCAAACAGAAAAGCAAAGTGTTGAGTGTTAATAAATACTTAGGGAAAATTACCATTCGGCCAGATCACGTAATTTTTCCACAATTAATTTGTATCTGGTGACTACCAGTAAGCGATATAGGCACGGGCACAAATTCAATCCAGGTGGAAATGACCAACGACGTCAAAGAACTAACAAAGGGGCAATACATAAGCAACAAATTCCAAAAGAATATGTCTTGAATCACAGCAAAAGTTTTGATCTAATCTGCGATATTGATGCATTTCTGCCTTTTTAATTTCGTTGTGTTAGTAGCGTTGCAGAACTACAAGCTCAACAGTGGCCTGTATATTCTGGCTAAAGACAAGTTACTAGTTTACTTTGGATTTTCATAAAAGTGTGCCAGCCCACTGATTATATTTCTGTGTTTGAAGTGGCGGAGTTCGTCATATTTACTTTAAAGGGCAATATTAAGGTCACTGGCTCTGCGCTAACAACCACAAACGATGTGGTGTATTTGTTTTTGAAATTAGCAACGTAAAAAGTGAATTTCAGTTTCATTACTTGCACATGACTAATAATCCATACAATCCAATAAATCTCGAAAATTTTTTTTTTTTCCTTTTTAAATATAAAATAGCTTATAACATTATTTAAACTTGAATTAGAACTTGAAGGTTTGTAATTTTCAGTTTTAAGTTCAGCTTAGTTGTATCTGTCCACGGATTTTCTCAGCTGCAAATCCGCTTTAGCAACGGCCAGTTGAAAAATCTTCAGGACTGATTGTTTCTTGAAACATTATTATCATATTTACTAAAATTGTGCGGAACTCTATAATAAACACGAATAACAATGTTCGATAGCGGTTTATTTCTGATTTTTGTTTATTACCTTTGCAATCACAGTGTAGCGTTTGGGGATTAACTTATCGCTACCAGCGAAAGCACTATTCTATATTTAATGAATATGACATGAATTTAAACGTGGGCAGATATTGCATGCGTAATTTTTAAATTATTTTGGTATAAACAGTGTTTGTAATCAAAAATTCGTTTTTAGAAAAAAGCATCTACTTTGGTAGCTCCTACTTCAAAATAGCGTCATCAGGTCATTTTTTTGCTTCCTTACAAGACTTAGTTTACACCAATTTAACACTTATTAAGTTACATTATATTTTTTGTGGAAACTGAGGAGTGTAGATTAATGAACAATACGATGATCTGAAAAATGTTATCAAATTACCACTCCTACATATGGTATTAAATGTACCAAAGAGAACAATAGTAACATTTCGCAATAAACATTTAGGGAAGCCTATACCGATTGAATGGAGGCGTCCTAGTAATATAAACTTTTTTTTCTTTATAGATATAAAATTCTTCGCCAAATGAAAAAATTCCCAGAGTCCAAAAATTGAATATAAAAATATATCTGCGCAGAAGTTAAGTTACGTTAAGATTTGTTGCAGATATTTCATAAGATACTCTTAAAATTTATTTTAACCTCTTGGTGGCAAAACATGACACAAAGAATCAGCTTGTGTTAACTTTTTTCAATATTATGTAATATTATTGTTCTTATTAATCAATCTTTATAAACCAACAGATCTTGCGTAATGTTTCAAGAGATCTATTCCGCGCAGTATTTTCTGTTCCTTAAAACTAATTTCTTTGGAATCATTGGCGGAATCCTGTAGTGAGAAACCTATCGATACACAAAAAAATCGACTCGGACGCAAATAAAATTGTTTATTGTGCAGGAAATTCCAAATTTAAAACTTATCCGAAATAAAGTTCCCCGCATAACCGTTAATAGATTAATAACAATACTTCAAGGCAACTCCTCTCGTTTTAGGAATCGCTGCGCTCGATCATAACAATTCAACTCGTGTATCCAGATTATTCACCCTTCATCCGTTTATTTGACAATCCGAAAAATTTAGACTCCTTTTTCGCGAAAAACGCGCAAAATAACTTCAGGAGCAGTAGTCAAAACTCTCCGAAAATCACTCATCGAATTTGTTTACCCTCATTTACAGAATAAGGATGTGCATTCCACGAGCTAATCTCCCGAATACCACTGAAAGAGGCAAAATCTGCGGGCATATGTTGAATCCTTGGCACATGCCGTCGGCGCGGGGACGCTGCACGTTGTCATGACTACCACCAGTTAATATATACGGGAGCGTCGCGACGCCGGTTCATTCAGTAAACGCGTCTCAGAGCGTCAAAATCACCAGAAAACAGCAAGTGCGAGCGTGATCATTTTCTATAGTGAACGAACTCAATTTTTGATTGATCATTCTGCTGTGCGCGATTCCTTGGGGCTACGTCTCCGCTGTAATTGAGGTGAGTATTTGAAAATTTTGGAAAATTTACATTTCGGGTTGTAAAAGTCGGTGTTTGTAAACACGCGGGAGGAATGTGCATTTGTACTGGTCGTATTTTAAAGTCGATGTGGGTTTTATTATTGTACAATGAAATTTAATCTACAGAAATGCAAAAATAAATTAATTGCGAAGTAGTTCCTTTGAAATTCGGAACGATAATAAACAGCATAAAGCATACTAACGCAATTACGTAATGGCTAATTTTTTAAATTTTATTTTCGAAAATGGTGCTGGGAAAATTACTTAAGAGGGTTAATGCTTGCAATAATGTCGGTAAACACCTCAAGTGTCTGACCCAATTATTTTTTTCTCGATCGTTCATTTATAATTAAAAATTAAACCCTCAATTACCGTCGACACAATTTCTAGGCAAAGCGCGAAAACAAATATTTAAAATTCCTCTCAAGTTAGTAACGTACTTAATCAGGAGAGAAAGCTTCAGCGCTGCTGGAACAATCCGTTTATTTAAAATATTATTGAGGAAAGTTTGCGGAATCCTTGTTTATTTGTCTTCCCACTTTTGTTCTTCAGAAACTTACGTCTTTGTAACGCAGGTTAAAAAACTATTTCGGAGTGTGTAACTTCTGGCTCATCTGTGATTCTTTCTACCTACAGGTTTGTAATTTTACGCAGCTGACGAGTAAACACCACTGGTTAAAACAAAGGTCATGAGTCAAAAGTGTTGACCTATGCCTTTGTACGCCTCCTGTTTTTTAGACAGGAGCTGTCCCAAATTGAATTTAATGATGAGGTATAGGGTTGTGTGTTTTTAAGCCAGAACTTGCCCGAAGGAGTGTAAAAAAATATTCTAATTTTAAATGGAATTTGTCTTATCTTTAATATATTACTTGGTACAGGTGTTGAAACATCTTTAATTTCTCGCGTTTATTTTTCGTCGGTTGAACTTTACTAGATTAAAGTCTACAACAATAACTCACTTATCCATACAGCGTTGCCTCTGCTTTACTTTTCTAATAAACCAGATGTCAAAACACTTCCAACTATCGACTAGTTGTTTTTCGAACATCATAATAAGTAATCAGTTATTTTAACCGATGAGGCATCAGGAACTCAGTGCTGATTTCCTCTTTTCAACGAACAAATTATCCAAACATCGTCAATCAGTTTCGTCATGCTAACAAAATTTAATAATCACTTTAGTTCCTGGGCCAATTTGCGGCCATTATCTCCTTGTTCTTAACTTGTCAACTCTTGTGCTTGGAAGTTTGAAACTCCCCTCAACACGTTACAGCCATCACATGTCCTTTGAGGCGGTTCACCATCATGTAATCGAGTTTGGTAACGTTTAACTGCCAAGGGCGTCCCCCGGTTAATAACCCTGTCTGGATCGTCCCGGGCCGTACTGGCCGAATTTTGGCCCTTTTAGCAAAACAGGCGAATTTACTTCCGCATCGCCACTTTATTTATGTATCGTCAGTCTAGCGAGTTTGTTTTCATAGCTAATGGTTTAATCACATATGGAAGCGCTTCCAAAGCCGCGGTTCTCTTTTTTTGCTTGGTCCATGTAACGGGCTGTGATATAGCATCTAGGAATGAAGTGTTGGAATTCCAGTCCGGTTATTTCTGAGCTGAACGCGACGGCAGGCGCCGAATGTGGGCGACAAGACGCACGACCGATTGTCGCCTGAGCAGTGAAGAAATTTACTTTCCTCAATTTTTCATCGCGGAATAATTCGCCGAAATGAGAGAGTGGAGTGTCGACAGATGAGTCAATTTTCGCGTTTGATAGCATAACCAATTTTCGCTCTCTCTGTCTCGTCTGTTGTCTCTGGCACGCGCGGAAAATTTTCAAACATTTTAATGTCAATCAAGCGATTAATTAGTCAGTCAATACGGCAAACAGATTGCGATCGGCTATCAGTCGAAAATCTACAGATACAAATCGCGAAAGGTGACGTCAGGAATTTCCAGAAGTGATTCCCGGACGTATGTTTAGAAGCACATCAATAATGCGAACTTCACGTCTCATTATCTTCGATAATTTTTTCACTAGCGATCAGCGTGATTACCTTAATCGGGAAATGGGAGCCCTTTACCAGTGGATTTTCTCTATCGCATGTTATACGCGCGTGACAATGATAATTGAATAAATATTTATCCGAAAAATGCCATTTAAATAAACCTTCCGACTTGTTTTGTTCGATTGGCACCTAAATCCGAAAACTAACAAACAAATAACATATGTAGAACCCAAAGGCTAACCGAGTCATCATTTCGATTTTTACAACCTCAATCGTGATTAAGTTTGACATTACCACAATTTGTCAGCAAATTAACAGAAATAAATCTTGTTGGTCAACCTCTAATCGCTCGATCTAATTCTTTCAGAAGATGAAAACTGAAGACAAAAATAGTGTCCCCAAAGTCAGACTGGCGGTGATCGGGAAGGCGAACGTAGGAAAATCGGGTAAGTTTTTCCCTAAATAAAAACCATGATTCATTGCCTACTTCACGCATTTTTGGCCGAGCCAAAAGCGCTTCATCATCAATTTCGAGAAGTCGCACTGAATTACCTAATATGGGCTTTATGAAAGCCATCGTAAATCAAATGCGAACTGAAATTGTGTTTGTTTGACTCGGCCAAAAATAACATCGTTAAAGGATTTAACGAGCGGTGTTATTGGCCGAAAAATCTCGTGTCCAGTTTGATTCATTCTTTGTTCGCTTTAATGAAACCCCTGTTGAATTGACTTCTTGTTTCAGCATTGACCGTTCGATATCTCACAAGGCGGTACATCGGCGAGTACAGAAGTAATACAGGTAGGTACATCCGTGAAACCGAAATTTATGTTGGGGCTATTATACAAGCGGAAACTCGGCTATAATTTTAGATTAAAGCGTACCTGTCGTTAAATAATCGCTCAAATGAAAACAAATTTGCAAAATAAGTCATAAAATCGTCTTGAGCAAATAAATCAGAGATGGTGGGGAGCGTTTCTGGTTATATAACTTGGCGCGTATAGTAAATAATCGCTTGGAAACAATCCTTGAGATACTTTTCTGATAGAAATCTAACTTCAGTTTATCAATTTATTTTTAGAAGCGGAAGAAGTTGTTGTTCATAAAATACAGATTTTATCGAAAAAAACTGAACCTCATCCAAATAAATCACAAGATTGGGGTTATGAAAATACTAACTGGGGCCATTTATGGATAGACATAGAACATTGTTTTATTTGATTTAAAACCGATGTCGATGACGCTAATAACGTCATGGTGACGTGAACAATGAAACCATTTAACTGCGCCTTTCCGCCATCAATGATTGTGAACTCTGCAGCTAACATTAGATAATCGAACATTTATAGCTCAAAACAAATCATCCATGTTTCAAATACAGTTCATAATTAAGCTTCGCGGTGCTGTGGAGGGGCCTTGCGAATTTTTACGAATCTATTTCTGGACGGGTTTGACTGGAAATAGGATTTTTGGGCGTATCGAACAATGTAATTGGAAAGATATTTACCTCAGTTTATAGCGAGCGGTGCGCAAAAATTTTGGCAGTCAAGAAATGAATGACGCTAGTAGGTATAATTATAAAATTTTGTTATTTCAAATGTGGTTTTTTCGAATGTTCGCGCCGCGGATTGCACGTGCACCAGGTGAAAAGAGAGAGTCAATTGCGTCGAAATTATAATCGTACTCTATGAAGTCGCCGCTAGCTGGCAACCAAATCCAATACATCTTCTCCAAGAATCTCTCAAATTTTTCGCATTACAATAAAATTTGGAATCTCTCCTTGGCAGACACACAATATTCGGATCAACCTGGCAGCTGAACTAAAAATTAGCGATTTTGCGACCCAGGTTCGACTTGACAATTTTAGAACAGAGTCGAAATAAATAAATTTCGCAGTTTGGCCAAATCGTTAGCAAAATGCGTCTCCTGTCTGCTTTGAAATCAGAGGCGTCATAATCATAAAGGGTTATTTGTAAGAGTGCTAGAGTTTCATTGTCGACCAAAGTTCATACTACGGTTAATTAAGTTCGTTTGAATGTCAACTTTGTGGACAGAAAACAAAACTTGTTGCAAATTTAGCTCGGAGCCGGCATCTGTGTTACATACCTAAGTCAGTCCGGCAACTTACATAATTCTTGTATGTTCCACTAACCCAGTCCACTTATCCCATTAAATTCGCCCGATCCCTTACTTCCAACGCAATTTTGTCGACTCCCCGGTGGCCGGCTAGGAACAAGCGCAATTACACCCCTAAATTAAGCTCAAACTTTCCGTGATGACTGCACTTGCTCAACCGCAGTAAACATTCTCTTCGAGACTTCAATAGCTTGGCGATAGAGCTAAAGTAAATCGAACTGCTCTCTGTCCACTCATAAATTAGTCTCTTGTTGATAATAAAACTCCCCAAGGTTTTTTCCCGTGGAAACAAAATAAAACTCTCACCTTGGTACAGATCGCAAAAGTTCGTTTCCACTATGCGCGAACTTTTTATTTATACGCTTCGGGATGCTTAGCGTCTTACCTGTCATTAAAAATAAACGTGAATCACGTTTCCGATTGTTTATGGGGGTGTCGCGTTGTTTGTTGAACCAAAGATTCGTGAGTAAAAGAGAGAAAAGGCCTAGACGTCCATATATCTGGCTGTAGCAGCTCGCGCTTAAATTAGAGCATTCCGCGTCTGTCCTACAACGCAGGAATGTTTATTGGTCGCCGCAGGAACATCATTATCTACCTAGAATAAACGCGCGACAAATTCGATGCACTTAAAAAAGCCAAACTGGGTCAGATGCAAAAATAAGGAATAAGCGGGTACGCGGAAATCCAACGGATTTAGGCGACCTTTGGGCTGAAGGACCGCGGCCTACACGCCTTAGTCACCCAGTTCATTGATTGGACTCGTCCTTTGGCAGGTTCTTTCGATCAGCTGCAATGATGCAACGGCGTGTTTAGACAGAGAACGCGACGTGTTGTCTAAAATATCGCTAGGTATTCAGACGGTGGTGTCTGCATAGCTGAGGATCATGTCCAGAAGATGGACTATTAATAGACGACTGTCGAAACCATGTTAATGCCACTTGTGCAAGTTTACGTTCCGGGTGTTATTTATTGAGGAAACAATGGGATTCCTAAATGGATTAAATGCCCAACGAAATTAGCCCAATTTATTGATGCAACAAGCTTCCAAAGCAAATAATAATAAATATGCTCGGCAGGGATTATACGAGCGCGGAAATATGAAAAATGGATTTGCATACATACATAATTTGGACGAACAACTCGAACGCAAAGATATCCCTTTACCCCAAACAAACCGTCTTTCTGTTATTTAACGGAGGCTAAAAGTAGCGTCCCCGTGCCAAAATATTTGCGCTACGATCACAAATTAGTCGTCGAAACTATTCGATTGTTAAAAATTGTCGGTAAACAAACTCGCAGCACGTGGCTTCACCCTCTTCACTGTCTGTCGCCACATCCTGCAGCAAAAGCCACGCTTCCAATTATTCGACATCTCCTCATTATCATCCGATTCTAATTAAATCCACGAGGAATTGACGTAAGTTACGAGCGGTGTCTTTGAATATGACTGTAAATTTTCATTAATAGCCGGGTTTCCCTGAAACAAAGCAAAATTAAATCAACCCCTATGAAACCTTGAAAAGTTTTCAGGTTCAATGTCCCTCTAACTTCCTACTTTCTTTCCAGATTTGCTTTATCGGCAAACTTTAACCGTGAATAACTCGGCGTTGGAGGTCGAGATCGTCGATGTTTGCAGTTGCGATTTGTCTTTATTCCCTGAAGAGGCTATTTATTGGGCGGATGCGTGCGTTGTGGTTTACGATATCACGAACAGGACGTCGATGACGCACGCCGCTGAGCTTCTTCAGCGAGTCCTTCAACTGAGGAGTCAAATGCCTATTGTCCTCCTCGGCAACAAATCAGATCTGGAACATCTTCGACAGGTGAGGCTTTATTCCATTATGACCAAAACAAGAGACGCCAGACTAAATAAATAGAAACCAGAGTTAATATCGCTTTGTGAGCTGAGGCTCTTTGTTATTTATAAATTCAAACGACATTGCTTTTGCTCCCTGACAGTTATTAACCGCCGTTACAAAACTGTTTTTCTATTTACCGAGGGGATTATGCGGGACTATTTATTAACTTGAACATGAAGACAAACACCGGATTGTGCAAACGGGCAATTCAGGCCGACGTTAACTGATCGTTTTTGACATTATCGAGCTGGACGCTGAGTGCTTTTAATTGCGCCATGCTCGAAGACAGAATCAATCACGTCTGGAAAACCAGAACAAGATCGGGCTTATTTAAACTACGTTGGCGTAGGTTCTGCTTACGTAGCGACAAATCGGATCTACGCGATCCTTGCAGTTAGTCCAGAGTTAATAATCCGTAGATCCGGCTCTGTCACTTTTTCTTAAGCGCCCACTCGTTTTCCACTAGTCTCCTTGTCTTCGTCGGATGACGGTTCACACACGCGTGGTGTAAAGGTTAAAATAGGCTAATTTTAGCGCCGAACATTTTCACATTAATGAATTAGAATGTTTACAAATTGCCGGGACTTGATTGACATCGGAGAATGTGAATTTCGGCCTTGATTGCACCAAACAGAATTAGCGCATGACCCTAACATAAACACTCCAACCAAAAAAGCACCCCGTTCTCTCCTGTCTCCACCCACAGCATAAACAAAGCTAAATTGCATTCTTAAACCATGACGGTGTTTATAGTTCCGTTTCCTTCTTTACAGGTCGATGAAGTCGAAGGCCGAACTCTGGCGATCCAGCACAACTCCCAGTTCCACGAGGTTTCCGTGGCCGAAAACAGCCCGGCGATCTACTCGGCCATCGACACAGTCCTGAACGAATGCCGTTCCGTACAGAACACCCAAAAAACTAGGAAATTCTCCGTGTCCAAGATGATTGGAACCCTGATCGGCAACACCAACGGGAAAGTAGTGCCAAATGCAAACCAAGGCGGAACCGTGGTGGTCTGCCACAAGTCAGATCTCTACAAATCCAGAGTTTTAAGACGAAGACAGAACTTTACTGCGACTGCATCCCTTTGACTATCGGAAAAAGAGGAGCAGGTCGGGACTGCTCGTTGAACTTTATCGAATTTTTGTTCCATATTTCTCAGTTTTATGAGAGGAGGACACGTGCTGTGCAGTTGAGAGGATACGCTGATAGTCCTTGAACTGAATATGAGTAATAATCTGGAAAAAGACGAGGTGCCAAGACCAGGCTGCAGCGGATGTGCGATTTTGTCGAACGTTTGTTTTATGTTCGTTTATTCATGAAGAAGTGTGCAATAATTTATCTTGGCAGAAGACTTCCGACAGGGTCAATGCTTGTACATATCAGAACGAGGTGCGAATAAAGTCTTATTAAGGCGACATTAACGTCAACAACATATGCGCCGCAAGAGTGACAACATGGTTCTATTTGTAGACCCCGGTTGGGAGATGGGCGGTTAATAATTTGGTTATTTTAATAACTAGTCGTAATTTTTATACCCTTTCTTATATTCATGTTGCCAATGTTAATGCAATTGTATTTAAGAGGCGAAAAAATATTCAACTTTCGTGTACTTTTAAGCGTATTTGTGATTTTTTTACCTAATTGTGAGATTTGTGAGATTATAGAGAGTTGACTATCTGTTCGCTGTTTATTTAAAAACCCCGATGTTTAGGTAATAGAGACCAAATATTTCATAAGAATGTGTGTGCTATAACGGCTGTGATATTGAATGTCTTTTTGTAATTTATCTAGACATTATTATTAAAAAATTCATGTGAACTGCATAGATATATTTATGCTAAATAAATTTGTACAAACCTGATACCGTATTTTCGTAATTTTTCTATCATCCACTGACCTATCCAATGGTATTGAATTTTCTATTAGAACATTATTTATTTAACGAAGTTATTGTTAGACATACAATGTCTAAAAATGGCCACCCCGTTATATAAAATATTCTCACAAGTTGTTTCTAAAAACATTTATCATTTACGTAAGATATAGAGTATAATTTATTTTAGAGTCAGCTCAAACTTCAAACAATTGGAAATTATCGGAATATTTGCGTGTTAAATGAGAAATTTACGTAAGTACTTTAACAAAGAAGAGTGATGACGGGGAAGGTTAATAACGTTTACAATCTTGTTATTACATCATATGATTTGTTACCTGACAAATAGTTAGTTAATTTGACAATACGACATTAATAAAATTTAAATGTTTTACTAAAAGCAACGTGTACTTAAATTCAATGTGTTAAAAGCTTGATTAAATTAAATCGTTTTAGTACCAAGCAAGAAAATAATGCCAAAAAGTCATGCTCCAAACGCAGGTTAATCGATAATTAATAATAATAATTGTGGAATACAGTACAAAATTGTTATCAAAATGTACACTTTGTTATCTATTACAGTCTCGAACTAAATCACTAATTTTAGAATGATGGCTAGGTGTATCTTGCTCAAAATACTTTATTAAAAAAATATTACTATAACATAAAACTAAGTGATTGAATGTTTTCTCACGTGCACCACATCCTTAAAATAACAAACAAAAAACTGCACGAACATGTCTTTAGTTATAATAAAAATTATAATTGAATAAACGGACCTGCTTTCATTTAACTAAAAAGTATTAATTCTTAAAATCAAATAAACACAATAATTTATAAATTACCATTTCGCCAAATCGTTGAAACTTACATTAGTAATCCTCCAACATTTACACTTTTTCCAAGTAGACTTTCAGGGATCGAAATGTTTAAAACCTTCATATCAAAGTTGTACAAATACCATTACCATTTAATTAGAAACGTCTGTAAATAACTTGTGCACAAACTAGTCCCCAAACTGCTACAGAAAATCAAAAGCATTCTTTGTTTCGATTTCTAGACGCGTAGTTGTTGCTGCAGGGTTATAACTTAAAATAAGCACAATACACCATACAAACATTACTTGTTTGTATATTGGCACACAAATTAATGCATTTCCTTATGATGTGTAGACACAAGTAGTAATTTTAACAAAGTTCAAGCACACCCAACAACTTGTGTTCGTAGACTTTGAGCTCAAAGCGCGTAAGAAAATTAAGGCTGAACCTTAATTTTTATGCACGGATAAATATTTAATCTACATCTGAATGTGTGTTAATTGGAGAAATATTTGTAAACCGTGATTCAAGTAAATAATGGAATTTATCAAATTTTAATGTGTAACTACACAATATCTACTAATTAAAGCTGTTTCTGTGGAACGTGATACTTTTGAGTAAAATTTAGGTCAGCATAAAGAAAATCAATGGGAGAAAATTAAAAGAATATAAACTGTCTTGCATCTTTAAACTATCAAAGAAATGTAGCCTAACTGTGTCGGTCGTGATTTTTTTTAATTAGCTGCCCTGGTTTTCAGCTACATGCCGATAGATTCAAGGTGAGAATTTTCGGAGTTTTCGGTGTGGGTGTCTGATAAATTATCTCAAATTAACACTCACGCAGGCATCAACATTTTATAGCTTTATAGTCGCTAATTGCCCTTAAATCTTTATTAAACGGAAGCTCTCGAGTGTGATTTATAAGGAATTTGTTGCACAGAGAATGTAGGTCAAGAATTGGCATTATGTTACGTCTGTGTATTCAGAAACATCACAAAATGTAATTTGAGCACCGAACTTATCCAATTAAACTTATTTTCGTTACCTGAAATTAATTTGTTCTGAAAAACGGAAAGCTTTCCAAGCTTTTAAACATTTGACGCGGGAACATTCTTACAAATATTTAATTCATTGTTGCATTTACACCAATACTTTGTTTACTCTTAAATAAACTCCGGCGTCGTTTCCTGCAAAAAAACGAAAACGTTAACACAGGGGTTAATAACACCTAAAAAATAGTAAACTTTTATGAGAGTGGAAAGTGCCACTTCAGCACATTTAAGCTCGCATAAATTGCGAAGTTCAAGGTAGGCTAAGTTTTAAATCTCTGCTTCAAAATGAATAAAGTTTGGTGATATAATAAAATTTAAAACTGAAGTTTTTTAATCGCACATTTCTCGAGCTTAGTCAGAGTACTAAGAATCAGTTGTTGATTCCTGGGGTTATTCTAAGATTGCTTTGCAAGGATTTCTTTGTATTTACATGTAGCAATATTTTTTTCTTCAATTTATGTACTATGTTTGTTTTTATAGATCATTCGCCTGTTCCTGCTAATGGTATCTTGGACGATGAAAACAATGGCTTGATTTACGGCAGATGTTTTCAATTAACAGTATAAATTTTGATTTACATTTTTCACTTCCTCAAACGTGAACTTAGAGAAAACCAGTTCCGTGCTGTAAGTGTTATTTTAAAAACAGAAATTCGTTTTTGACACTGCTTTGTGAGATATAAATGTCTCGTCGAGTATTGCTACGTTAAAAGTGAACATCTTTTACAAGTGTAGACAAGGAAAATATTGACAAAAAAATTAACTGCGCATAAAACGGAAACTTGCCAGAACCTGTGTAAAATAAATATTTAAAAAAAAGCTCGGATTAATAAAAGATTTATAAATAGATATATAATACTTTCTTACCTCTGGTCATATTTTACTGGCAAAGTATTTACACAACAAACCATATATTTGTCACCACCGTGGCAGACATTTTCTTTTATTGCCTTTAATAAAAAGCCGGATCTCTAATTCTTTTCGAGGCAGTATTAATCAAGAGTGATCATAAAATCATCAAGTTGAAATGTGGGTATCCCCGAGATTTTACACAAATCAACAATTTGGGTTAGAAACATAAAAATTTAATTAAAATATACTTTACTGTGGCGACTATCGAATGATTTACTAAGACAGTTCGCGTTTATCTAATTTTAGTTCCGCAGAGTTTTTAAGAAAATGGACTATCTTAAGTTGTTAAAATGAAACCTATAAGTTTAATTTTAGCAGCACTAATAACCCGCACGTGAAATTCATAATTTATAAAATAATAAAACAACTACGTCCTCTAAGTGAACAGAGTTCACTAGTGTACGTGATAACGAACGCATATGAAGGGCAAGGCGATGATACTTAATTTTTACCAAACTGAAAAATGCTTACCAAAAACCTAATTTATTTTTTTAACAAATCTCAGATCAACTAAAAACATGTTTTATGCGTTTGGGACCTGGTTAAGATCTTATCATCTATTGTGTTTACATAAAAAAAATGTTTTCGCATTATATATACCATAGTTACTTATTCTGGTTTTGGTTTATGCATGCAGTTCCTTTCATCACCGCAGTTTTCTTATCGTTTGCAGTTTTCAGTTTATTCTGTTTTAAACATACGGTAACATTGACCTTAATTTTGATTTAATTGTGCCTATTTTTATAGTTCGTTGTATTTTAAAGCTTCATGAAGGTTACCCTAAATCATTAAAGACGTGAGAAATTTAAGGAATATAAATATATATTTCATAGTAAATACATTGTAAATTTTAAGCAGAGTCGTGACAGAATTGTGCTGAAAACTAGAACATCGATTTCCAGAGCTTTAATCAGCTTATGTAATGCTCTCTTATGTAACAATTTCAACTTCAATTCTAGGGCTAACTTTCAAAATTATGTAAGGGGTCAATATTTACAGTTAATTCATTTGAGGATTACATAATTTATCAAATACTAGTGCGAAGGTGTGTACCGAATCTCATCTAAACAGTGTGTTATACGTAGGAATAAATCAGGTATCCATAATTTCATTTTATTGTTTGATTAGTGCAAATAGTTATGTAAATTCTCACACACATCTGTTGTTTCGTAATAGTTTGTTGAATGTGTTTTATTAATTTTTGTAGATCGATTACTTCGTTTTTTAATCTGAAATAAGGTATATGAAAAACTGCTAGCGTAACCCACAATATCTAGACATAGCTTTTCAAGTAAAGATTTTTTGTTTTTATTATTAAAGTCTCTATATCTTTACTAATTTTCAGTCTCTTCCAAAAATATTTTTTTACAGCGATTCCACATCCTTTTTACTATTTATTTAAAAAATCATTGTCTTTTTAACAGTGATTTTCGAACCAACAGATTGTTGTTTTGATATGGATGAAAAGGAATAATAAAAAAACTAATAATAATAAAAAAGCTAACGTTTTGTCGATATACTACGTTGTTGCTGGCAGTTACCTCAAACGTACTTTGTGTTACCACCCAAACAAAAATGCTGGTTCTAAAATAGTTATTTTTGTTACAATTAGCTAAAATACTGTTACGAAATAGACCCATACACCGCCCCGATACGACGCCTATGGGTTTTCTAGTATATGCGGCAGTGATGGGTAACTCATTGTCGGTGACGGCGGCCGGACGGCGTTCGCTAAAGAAAAGCCTGGAAGCGGAAGTCGCGATAGGTACTCCAGAACAAGCCTAGAAGCGGTGACGGCGACCTTTCGAGAAGGGAGAAGTAGAATCTAGTCAAATCAATTCCGGTCGAGTCAAAGTGATTCTATACAGAATCGCTGTGTAATTAGTCGTGTAAATTTGAGTTACTAAGAAATAAATTCTTGAGTTTTACCCACGCCGATTTTAATTTTAAATATCGTTGCTGTTTACGGACGAGACGTAGCCGCAATAGCAGATGAGTCCGAAAAAACTTTTGTACGTACGTGTTACAATTGTTACAAACAACATTTTTTAGTTGAAGCTGGCAAAAATAGCAACGGTTAGTCCCCAAAAAGTGTATTTTAGTGTGAAAAAACTGTACTTTGGGTACTAAAAATTGTTGTTTCTTGGATTGAATCCAAAAAAGACTCATTTTACGGACTTAAATGAATCCGTAAAACAGCTGTTTTA